AAATATTTCCTCCCTTCAAAACCAAACTCTATCTGAGTTTGCCTTGTTGTGTGATGTGTAATACACAGGGAAGCCATTCTTGCTTAAATTTAGTCAAACTTCTGTTCTGGAAATTAATTAATACTCATAATTTTGCCACTGCTGTGTATTTCCCAGCTTTGGCTTTCCAGTTTAATATTATTGGCAAAGTAACTCTTTTTTTCAATTTTAGGCCAAATTAGTCCTCGCAACTGTTAGCATGTACAGTGGGGCAAAAAAGTATTTAGTCAGCCACCAGTTGTGCAGGTTCTCCCACTTAAAAAGATGAGAGAGGCCTGTAATTTTCATCATAGGTATACCTCAACTATGAGAGGAGAGGCCTGTAATTTTCATCATAGGTATACCTCAACTATGAGAGGAGAGGCCTGTAATTTTCATCATAGGTATACCTCAACTATGAGAGGAGAGGCCTGTAATTTTCATCATAGGTATACCTCAACTATGAGAGGAGAGGCCTGTAATTTTCATCATAGGTATACCTCAACTATGAGAGGAGAGGCCTGTAATTTTCATCATAGGTATACCTCAACTATGAGAGGAGAGGCCTGTAATTTTCATCATAGGTATACCTCAACTATGAGAGGAGAGGCCTGTAATTTTCATCATAGGTATACCTCAACTATGAGAGGAGAGGCCTGTAATTTTCATCATAGGTATACCTCAACTATGAGAGGAGAGGCCTGTAATTTTCATCATAGGTATACCTCAACTATGAGAGGAGAGGCCTGTAATTTTCATCATAGGTATACCTCAACTATGAGAGGAGAGGCCTGTAATTTTCATCATAGGTATACCTCAACTATGAGAGGAGAGGCCTGTAATTTTCATCATAGGTATACCTCAACTATGAGAGACTGGAAAGAAATACACAGCATTGTTAAAAAAAAATCTTAAAAACAAAGTCTCATAGTTGAGGTATACCTATGATGAAAATTACAGGCCTCTCTCATCTTTTTAAGTGGGAGAACTTGCACAATTGGTGGCTGACTAAATACTCTTTTGTCCCACTGTATCTTATTAAATTGTGATATTTTTTATGTACTTGTTTTGGAAAGATTCCTGGTAGAGAAAACTGAAGTTTCAATTCAAGCTTTGTTTTTAAGATTTTTTTTTAACAATGCTGTGTATTTCTTTCCAGTACTTTTGAATTATTTTTTACACGACCACTACATATAAAAAAACATTCCTTCTGTATCACAGCATTTTCAACATTTATTATTACACGATTTTTCTCTTTTTGCAATTATGGACAGAAGTCTGTACTATTTGTAAAACATTTTGTACTAATTTTCTCTTAAATTATAGCTTGGGGTAAATGTCACTGAATTTTGTTCCTAAGTCCTTGCATTGTTGTAATGTAATTGTTTCTTTAGAATTTGCATCCCCTTTATCATACAGTCTTTTACTTGTTCTGTCTCCAAGTCATATTTTAGTAGCAATTTATATATACATCCTAATAGTGATCTTGGTTCTGTATAAAAGTTTCAAATTCTGTCATTCTCTCCTACTTTCTTGAGGTCACTTTTATTCTTCCAGCAATATCAGCCGTGGTAAAGTTTGACTTTCACCAAATAATTCTTCCTGCGTCTTTGGTCTGTTTCTAGAGACTGGATGCATCATATCTGCATATGTAATTACAATAATTTTCATACAACAATTATCTCCAGAATAAAAGGCATTTGAGGATGAGGCTAAAGGCAGGATTGCAGGACATTGGATTCGGCTATGTATGCAAATGCGTGCTATGCATTATGTTGAACTTATAATTTAAGCAAGATTTAATAGAAAGGTTTTCTAGAAGTTGAAGAGATCCACTGGCAAACTGAAATGTAATTCCCATTAGTAGCTGAGGCTAAACCTTGGCACAAAATCATTTGTAAAGATCACTGCCTAAATTTGGAATTTTAGTAGCATATTCAAAGATTTTGAAACACTCTTACAATAAAGGCTGGTGTGGGTCTTCCGGGCTGTGTGGCCGTGTTCTGGAAGTTTTGTTTCCTAACATTTCG